AAAAAAAGAAATATCAAAAGGAAAAAAAAAAAGATATCAGGATTCTGACAAAATATAGACGGGGGAGCCTATCCCACCCAGATAGCTTTGACAAGCTACTCATCCAAGAGAGGTGATGATGGCTTTAGAGACAAGTATTGTGGCCGTTGCCATTCCAACCAGTTTTATGACGGGTACCATGATGGCCCACAATGGGGTATGAATGATAGAGGCTGAGATCAATGACAGAGGCTACGACTCCAGGATAGGAAGTGGCAGAAGAGCATTTGGTAGTGGATACCAAAGGGATGACAACTACAAAGAAGGTGGAACCGGAATTAAGACTTCTATGGCAGACAGGATTATCAGTCACAGAGATCCCGAGATGACTATTCAAGATGTTTATCGGCCTGAAAATAGAGAGCCCCTCACCCCTACCCAAAGACCCAAACTGAATCACTGAATCTAAAGCTTTGGAGTGCTCCTAAGGAAGATGATTCCTCTGCTAGCACCTCCTTGTCTAGTCGATCCGCTTCTCTTTGGAGAAGCAAAAAAAGCCTGTAGACACAGCTACTAGAGAGCAAGAAGCAGAAGAGCAGCAGAAATTACAATGTCAGCGAGACCAGCCGAAACTCGGGTGACGCCTCAGGAGACATCCAGGCTGGTAAAATGAAGAAACTCAGGACCGGGAAAGGACAAGAACAGGAAGTGAGTCATCATAGACCGGAACTCAGCCACTTCCGGCAGAAATACACAAGAAAGAATGAAAAGTCTATGGAAAATAAACACTGAATAAGGAGGAAGAGTGTCACTCTCCAACTTCTTCTAAGCCTCTCAAATTTAACAATCTCTATAAAGGTCATGCCAGCCCCCAAAGGAGAATGCTCTGGTGAAGTGAAGATCTAATCCTCCTGCTTGGTTTCGGCTCAGAGAGCAGCAATCCCCTACAAATGTTGGACGAAAAGTAGCTCCAGCTCCACCATCTAAAGGACCAACAAGATGAATATAAAGTAGTTGGGGTGAGTGTCCTAAAAGGCCAAAATGGGCGCTCCAGCCATGGTCCAGCAGATGGAGGGCACAGAGACCACTGGAAGGATTCCGACAGAAAAGACAGCAAAAAGGATCAAGACTCCAGATCTAAATGTAAGCCAAAGAAACCTATAGAAAATTCAGTCTCCAAGTTCAGTTCTGCAATAAAGCATGTTGTCTCTCAGTTGTTGGTGAAGAGAAATGAGAGGCGAAATTACACTATCTAGACCTCTGCATCCTGTGCTTTCTCCTAGGCTCTCTCCATTTAGAACACTGACAAGCAAATCAAA